AAAAATTGAATGTGTCATATGAATTATTCTACGTCAACCTTTTTTTTTCAAGTTTCAAGGTCAAGTATGAACCCTGGTGAAACGAACCTTAACTATTTGTGAACTTCTAAATTCTTTATAAATACATATCTACATTTTTTTTTATTCTTTAAACGACATCCATTCTTTACAGTAATTACAAACAATACAAGCTTATTGAAATAATATAAAGTCACTCTTAACAAGGTTATTAGAAGAACACTGAGTGTTAAAATTGGCAACATCTTGAATACTTCCACCTATATTGAATTATTATACCTCTGTTCTAATAATGAACCTTGTCCTAATTTTATTAGCTTAGCTGATACCACCTACCTAATTAATATCTTAGCAGTTAATCACCATACATACTAACAACTGGCATGTATCAAAACCAGTACAACATCTGACATATCTACAAAAATCGAAAGCAAATAAAGTAACGTTGCCAGATTCATTTTTTGGAGAGGTACAGTCGTGAGCATTAGAAGTGGGACTGGCAGGTCTTGTCATTTTTTGCTATTTTGGGTAAATCAGTCTTTTCTGTAAAACAGCTGCCGGATTCTATTTTCCGAGTCGAGTCGAAATTCGTATCGAATTGTCAAAATAGCGATTCTATTTTCCGATTTATCAATACCTATTACACGGTAAGTCTGAAGCTGTAGTATTCGATATCGAGACAATCCGACTCGACTCGTAAAATAGAATCCGGGGGCTGATTTTTTCTCATGTATGACAATCCCCGTCATTGCCGACGGTGTAGCTGGTGAGCCCATTTTACAATAGGAAAAATCGGGTGCCCATTTTTTTCTGCTCACGACTGAGCTCACGACTGTACTTAAAGATTTTACAATTTGCAAAATTCATTTTAAAATCCAACTAATGTGATTTTTTTCTATCATATACATAATAAAAGAAAACACAACTTTATATGGAATATCGCAGTTTAAAAACAAATCGGGAATGAACCTCCTTCATATCACCAAGATTGGTTGAGGAGGATTTTTATGGGGTTCCCTGAATGGCCTCTTACAACGTAGTGGAGCGCTTACACGCTATTTTGGAATCACCCATGTATATTTCATAAGTTTTGTGTTTAATTTGGTGTTTAGTAAATTATTTTTTATTGAAGGTCTTTTTTTTACTTACTAACATTTTTCAGGAATAAACCATACATTCATAAAGGGGAATGAATATGTTCTTGACCGTGTAAGTTGAGTTTTTTTTTTTTTAGTTTGTGGTAGAACTGGTTATTAATTTTAAGGCATTTAGAATTCACCTCACAACTTTGCTTGGCTTTTGGCTATCAGAAACATTTGCAAATTTTTTTTTTCAGGAGCTTGTTTGGCTTTGGCATGTGGAATGTGGTATTTTGAATCGTTGAATATACACCTGTTTGAGACTTAACAATAATGTAGTTTGTGCTAATATTTTAACTATTATTACTGATTTTTGACCTAAAAATTAACCAAGCAGTGCATGAAGTGCAATCAAAGATTCTAGCCTTATTGTCAATCTGATTTGATCCAAATTCCAGCAATACTAAAAGCTGAGCTAAAAGCCTTTTAGCGTACCAGCTTATGGCTGAACTACAAAGATTATTAGATGACAGAGAACAAAAACCTCTTGGTAATATTGATATCTAATATAGCAAATAAGACTAAATATTAGTTAAATCTTCAAACTGCAAATCACAATTTCTTATATCTATGCCAAACTTTCATCTCTAATCATCAATTAGGGACTTGGATGAGAAGGACTACTAACAAACAAATCTACAGCTCTAATATTTCCAGATCTCTATACTACATCTTTAATCGGTCACTCCAAACTGAAAATTTTCCAGTTTATTGTAGCAATTACAAATTATCATCTTATAAGTATCTTGAGTGCAATTCCAATGGTCTGCTGCTGGTCCATCTTAATAGTATCTTGAGTCCAATCCAAAGCCAATTGGATGTTAGATCTTTTTTTAAAACTCTGAAAATACTGAAACTCCTAACTTTGATTGAATTTAGAAACTTCCCGGAATGCAACAAGTCATTATGCACCCAAATTCTTTAATAAATTAACAAAATTTTTCATTAATAAATGCTATTCTTCAATAGATAAATTTATACAGTATGGGGTCTCGTCTCAGATTTGGAATTTTAACCTCTCTTCTAGGTTTGGTATAAATTGTTATGTGCACCTGTATGTTAAATTATTTTGTAGACTATAATTTTATTACAGTAGAACCCCAGTTAACTGATTACTTCAGTAAATTAGTAAAGCAGGGAATGATGTTAAACATATATGGAGAACACTAAACACTATAATCAACAGCTCCAAACCCAGAAAAAACCGCTTGCTACCTAAGTTAGTACATGAAGGCCATACTGTGCAGATCCCACAGGATGTTGCCAACTTGCAAAACCAATACTTTTCCGGAATTGCTGGGAAACTAGCCAAAAACATAAATCAATGGGAACCTGTGACTACAGAGGAGGTCAATGCAGTTAGAAACAAATTAAAACCAGGAAAATCACCTGGAGTTGACAGCTTAGGCATTGATACAATCAAGAAATTGAAAAATGAAATATTGCCTACTTTATGTTAGCTGATAAATGTTTTTAATAATACTACATTTCTACCAAGTCTGTTTAAAATGGCAAAGGTTTGTTCCTTTGTTTAAGGGTGGTGGATGATAGCACAGACTAAACAGTAGCTACAGGCCCATTTCCTTGCTCCCAGCTATGTCTAAAGTATTGGAGACATGTGTGAATATGAGATTAACCAGTTATTTGGATGGACTAAATTTTTGGTCAATATAGATTCAGAAAACACAGCAATACCTCCTCAGCAACTACAGACATAATTACAAATATTTATGAAAAAGTGCGTAAGAGATATAAGTGTGTACTTGTCTCGCTGGACTTAAGAAAAGCTTTTGATAAAGTAATTCACAAAATTCTCGTGAAGGTGCTTGAAAAAACTGGTATTGGAGGTTCAGCACTACTGTGGTTTAGGGATTATCTATCGGGCAGACTACAGTATGTTGAATGTGAAGGTAACAGAAGTAAAATGGAAAACATTGTACACGGAGTGCCCCAAGGTTCAATTCTAGGACTGACACTCTTCCTAGTCTACATGAACTCACTGTCATACATACCTCTTCAGGGCTCTCTCAATTTATATGCAGATGGATGATACTCACTTATTTTGACAAGGACTCTGCTAACCTTGCTGCTAACTTAAAAATCATCATTGAAGAAGACTTACAGAAAATGAGCGATTGGCTCTTTACCACAAACTTACCACAAATATCAAAGTTTGAGTCCTGGCCTGATTTCACGATAAATTTTCAAGGTCTCCCATTGACTCGTGCAAACTGCATCAAATATTTGTCGATTCAAAACTTACTTGGGATATGCACATCTTGCATGTAAAAAGGTTACACCAGCAATTGGAATACTTGGTCAAATTTTGGACTATCTGTCCATTGCGGATCGTAAGATGATATATACAATTCCCTTATCCATTCTCACATATCATATCTAACTCTGCTACGGGAAAATGCTTCCCTTAACAAACTGCACCCATTATCAGTTCTCCAAAATTGTGCTATAAAAATTTGTTTAAGCTGCCATTTCTAATTCCAACAAAAGACTTATATTTTCCGAATGGCATCCTGGACATTCACTTCCTATATATCTTGCAATCATGCATCTTTATCCATTCTTGCAAGACTTTCAATATTCACTCTACAATAAGTCTCATCCCAGCCAACACAATCCATCACCACAATGCCAGACTCGATGAAAACTCAAGAACGTCGGCAATGAACACTACAACTGGCAAACGCAGCATCTTGTCAGAAGGACTAAGGCACTACAATTGAATTCCAGAATCTGTTAAAAAGATTGAACATAACTTGCTTCAAGTGTAAGCTGAAGCAGCTGATCTTCGATGGATACTTTGGGACTGTACACTGAAAGACTTTATCTGCAATTTAGAATTATTCATAAATACAACAACTTTGTGATATATTACCTACTTGTACTGGATATTTTCTTTTGTGTGATATTGTATGATGTATAACAATACGGTATATTGTAATAATGTTATATATGCTACTGATTGACCCACATAGCTTTTCAACTCAGGGTTTAGGTACATACATACATCTATTGTTTAACTATCATGTTGAAATAAAGGAAAAAAAACGAGGTAACGTGGGGGGCCCTCCTTGGATAATCCGAAATTACGCAAATTTACATGATAAAAGAATGAAAAGAGTACAAAAACATAAATAGAGGAACCACTCACAGGTGCCAAGGGGATTCCTTATCGGCCCCGACGATTTTAAATAAAAATATGTATGTGTAAATGTATATTGTAAATGTCAGAAGCTCGGTGAATATGGAGTATAGACGCCCATACCTCGGATAATCAGGGTCTTTGGGTCGTCATATTGGCTTGGTTAATCTAGAGCTCAGATAATTGCGACTCGGATAATCGGGGTTCTACTGTATTTTCAATAATTGTATATGGTTAAGTGTTAACTGAATCTTAAACCTTCTGACTATGCTTACCTTTCACTGCTGGGACTATTTTATTTCTATTCCATTCCTGTATAAAGTCTTTAATTGTAATGCAGGTAAGTGAATAAGCTGAATGGGATTTTAATCTAATCAATTGTTCATATACCTACATACCAAAAAATGAACAAACATTGAGCTGTAGTGATTGTTTAGCTTTTTGATAATCATTGTTATCACTTAGAGTCCTACATTTGATAAATTTAAATTTTCAATGTCTCAATTGAGAGGCTCCTTTTGCTCTATATCAAACGTCTCAAAAAAAATGAATGTGTACCTACCTATAATTTGAATTTATTGAGTGTTATGTTTACAGCACATATTAAACGCCTTGTGTTTTCTATTTATTTTAGTCGCCTAATCAAACAAATCATTGAAATTAACTCTTCTTGTGTTTTATAGATCGAACTAAAAAAAACGTTCAGTGAATTTGGTAACATTACCAAGCTTTATCTAAACAGTGACGGAAATTATGCGAATCTGTATTTTGACCAACCTGAGTAAGTTTCCACAGAGTCTCGATAAATTCAAATCTATTTTATCGTTTTTTAATTATTATTGCAGGTCTGTTACCGAGGCTTGCGCACAATATAACGGTGTAAACGGTTGGACAGTGTTTTCGGGTTCAAGAAGGCCCAAAAAATCTAACCCATACGACGAATTTAAGTAAGTCCAACTGATTGATTCTAGCCAGAAAATGATTAGTTTTATTGTAGCTCTAGTACTTCTTCAGTTAGTCATACCAACTCGGAGGCAATGGAAGAAACGGTTTATTATAAGGGCGATTTAGTTGATATCCAGGGACAACTTGTATCGTATTTGAAAACAGAGGATGGAGAAATATTTGTTCGTTTGGAGGATATCGAAAAAGCTGGATTCAAGCTTTTTCAAAAGAAATATTATGATGTTACTAGGATTCCTGACATGTAAGTGAATATGGTTTAGTCTCAGTTTGGCATTTTTTTTTAAATAATATTTTTCAGGGATGTTCTTAAAGAAATTGAAGCTAAAATATTTCATTATGGCATGGAATGTTTACTTGAAGCAAATAGGATATTTACCGAAGAAGCGATTATAAATATGTATGAAAGGTAATTTTCAATGATTGTTGAGTGGCAGATTTTTATTTTTAATTGAATTTAAGGGTAAGGTCTAAGTTGTTTAATGGCGAATCTAAGCCTGCAGATCATCCTGCACAAAATCGTCGCATAAGTTTACAAGCTACCAATTCTCCATTATCTTCACGAACCAATACTCCTCCATCAGCTGGTCAGAGAGAAAGGAGGTACCTAAATAATTTATTTACAAATTTATCAACAAGTATTTAAATATTATGCCTTTCAGATCAACTTCTGTAACTCGTACTGGAAGCAATAATTACCACAATGGGTAAGTGAATGCGATTGAGAGGATTACATTTTTTAGGAAAAATAATTTCAGAAGAGAAGAATTCCAAGCCCCTTTTAGAGACAGAAACCAACGTGAATCTCGTTCGGATTATGCAGGACCGCGGCTTGGCAGAGAAAGAACCCCACTTAGAGCAAGTGGTTCTTATGTGGTAAGAAGTTTTTATCAATTATTGTTGTTCTTCTACTCCCTTGTATCCAAATTTATCTTTTAGTCCAAGTTTTTTACTCCTAATTCACGCTTTTAAAGTAAATTCCTTTTCCTTTTCGCGCGGATTAACAATAATTTACTTATTGAGCAAACAGTATTATTTTCTGTTTTAATTTTATAAATCCGTGAATTGGAAGAAACGCGATCTTTTCACTTGAAAAAGATTTAATGGGAATTCGGCAATTTAAGTATGCTTTTCAGATATTATTGGCTTCGCATTATCCATGGAAATTTGACAGGTTGCCCTCGTATAATAATGACAGTTGATGACAGTGTATTTTTCAAATTTCAGGGTTATAAAACAGAAAGCCGAGTTGCCAGAATGTGTGAAATATCTGAGTAGATTCAATTCCAAAATATGTTTCCAAATTAATTTAAAAAAAAATGGGTACTTAGTAAAATTATCAAATTTATTTGAAATAAAATAAATCCAACGTAACCATAACAATAAGCTTAACAGCATAAATATGTTTTCGCAGTAACTGTTTTCTCGGGTTTCGTCCAACAAAAATATTGGTTGCTGGTTATGAGAAATGGGTTTACATCTATATTTAAACTATACCTACCCCAAATGTATCTGCTAATTGGGCTCCAATTATTATTCCCTGAAGAACCTCTCTTTTCTCGAAATAGCCGTAACATTTTATTATTTCCCTTATTTTCTCTTGAGAAATTATTTTGGGCATCTTAAATATGAAATAAATTTGACAATGCCGAATTTTGAACAATGTCAATGGATTTTGCAGGTATGCAGAATAGTAAGGTGCCGTTTATATGTTGCACTATTGAAAAATATATTGACAAATGTGTCAAATTTGATTGGCCAGATAGGCCAGAGAATTTCAATACTGCGACACTTACGAAATTATGTGAAACACACTTAAAACTGCCTGGAATTTGACATATATTGTCATTATTATATGAGGGTCAACCTGTCAAATTTCCATGGATAATGCTACGCCAATAATAAGTGAAAGGCAAATACAAGCATTCCATAATAAGAATTATTAACAAATGACAAATTGTCAACTTCTCATTGACAAACTAAAAACTAACTGGTCACAGAAAAACACGGGTGTTTCTAGCTTACTATTTTCAAAATGTGTAAAGATAATGGGAAATTTACAATTGACACATCAAAATTAGGAAAATGTTGTTACTTGGCCTGGCCCTCCTTTGTATTTCTATTATAAATTTTTTCTGCGATTGACAAGAAATATCAACGTCCAACAAACTCAATATTCTGGTATTTTAATTGTTTCAATAGTTGCCAAGGAATCAATGAATAACAATACGGGAATCACTTTTCCGGCCTAGGCCGGGAAAGTAATTCTCGTACTGCTGAACAATTGGAACAAAACACAAACGTTTAACAGTAAGTATTTAACCGATCGCAGAAAAAATAGTATGTGTATTTCAGTGGAAAAGCACATTCTTGGCGTTCGGTGTTTGGTGGCCTCGGCTACGCCTCGCCCATCAACTTACACCGTCGGCCGAGAATGTGTCACTTTTCCACCTCAATACACAATATACTATTGTTTGTTTAGGCTGAACAAAAGGAATATGTGCCCAGTTTTCATGAACAAAGATCCATTAAAAGGGAAATATCCGCTACACGAGAAAAATCCTCCAATATTTTTACAAAAGTTGAGCAGCCTGAATTATCCAGCTCTTTCGAACAAAAATGTGCTACAAGAGTCAAACCCTCCAATATTTTTACAAAAGATGAGCAGCCTGAACTATCCAGCTCTTTTGAGCAAAAATGTGCCACAAGAGTAAAACCCCCAAGTACTTTTGCTAAAGTTGATAGGCCCGAGCAAGGTATGTTGTCTCGAGAAAGTTATTTACTTGTGTATACATTTAAAACTTAATTTATAGAATCACCAAAGGCACAAATTTCAAATGTCCCAAAAACTGAAAACATTACGCAAATCGGAAGGGTAAAATTAGACAAAGGATTTTTTCTATTTTGGTGTCATATTAAAGTCTTTTCGACACTAAAAGTAGTTTCGAAAAGAAGCTCTTTGTGACACTCCTTTTTTACTTATCGAAGGTTGGTAACACTGGCTGACTGATGGCCATCGAACTGTCATTCGTGATTTTATAATAGAAGATTTCTATATTTGGCAAGTAGTGTTACCAACCTAAACATATGAATTCAGGAAATATGAGAATAAAATGTTCAAGAAAAATTTGTTTTTCCTAATTAAACAATACCAAAATAGAAAAAATAGTATAAAATATTCGTTTCATAAGACATTTTATCGCACTCGCCCTTTAGAAAACTCGCCTCCGGCTCGTTTTCTAATATAGGGCTCGTGCGATAAAATGACGTCTTATGAAACTTGTATTTTAATGTACTATTATGAGGTAGATATTAAATATATTAATTTAGAAAAGTCCTAACAAGCTAGAATGGAAATTTGACATTTATTAAAAAATCATGCTTACATTTCCAGTTTCCATCGTAATATTTAATGTTTGTTTTAGCTCAAAGTCACTTACTTAACTGAAAAACAAATTTTCTATGCACAATTACTTAAAAATATCAATATAGTCGAAGACATATTGCTTCACGTCAATACCAAAGACAATCTCTTACCTTTAATTGAAAAACCCCTGAAGGATATGTTAGTTGTTGTAGAATTTGAGGACCTTTGGTAAGCAAATTATGTTAGTTTAACTTGCGAAATTTTTACCAATAATCCATATTACTGATTAAATTTGATTTTAGGTATCGAGGTGTGGTTATCCGTTATCCGGGAATCCGGGTTACCAGGCTCTGCCCTCGTCCAACTATTGGATTATGGCAATAGAGAGGAAATCAAAGGCAACATTCGACAAATGTCAGAAGAAATGCAGAAAGTTCCCGCACAAGCTTTCCGGTTCACTATAACTCAACCTAACTCAACTATAGAAGTCTCAAAATTAGAGATTGATCAAGACATAGAGGTGGAAGTTCTGAAACACGTAAGAATTAAAAAAAAGAAGTTTCTTAGGAATTATGCATTTTTGTATAAAGTCTGTTCCATATAGTAAAGTAAATATCTTATTTGAAAACTCTGGAACCTTAAATTGGGACATTCTACAAGGTTAATTTAACCTCTCAATGTTGGTTGGTTGATCTATTATAAATGTCACCCAATAGTTAAAGGGAAAAACGCGAAAATCCCTTCAGATCTCTCATGTTATTTTTTTTTTAAATATTAAAAATAACTTAGACATCAAGATTTACTATAATATTTCCCCTTGTATATTATTGAATAAAATTTGAACAATAAACTGTTTATAAAAAAAATTCTCTAAAGCTTTAATGGTATGATATTTCTTTTTTCAATATGAAAACTTGAAAGGGGTTTTCATGTTTTTCCCTATAACTATTGAAGATAGACGTATCAAACCATATATCGTTGAAATCAAGTTGAAAGGGACTAACAAATAAGCGCACAATATACAGGGTGTTCCATTTAAAAAAATATAACTTCACACTGCTGTACTTTTTTGACGCACCCTGTATGCCTAAAACTGACTCAGTTAAAAACTTTCGACAATTTCTTGAAACTTTTGTCTTTGACACTTCTGTCAAAAATGTCAAATAAAAAAGTTAGAAGGAGTCGACATTTATAATAGATCACCCTGTATATTGGTTGGTACAACCTGGCCTACACCCTCAAACAAACAAAAGTATTTTTGTATCAGAAATTTAAAAAAATGGATTTGTTCTGTTTCAGTTTGACAGTTACGGAACTACTTATTTAGTTGATATTAAACGAATTATTGGATCTGATGAAGAAGTAAAAACGACTCCGATTGAAAACCAGCCCAAGGAGAATGTCAAACCAGCACCTGCTGCCAAATGCTTTATGCAGGTATGAAAATCATACACAACTAGCCAGCAGATTTTTTCATTTTATTTTATTTTAGATAGCGAAACCTACTGTTGAAATTGTACCTGGCGAAATGGTGTTTATTGTAAACCACACTAATGATAAACTGATTGTAAAAAACAAGGAAATGGCTAGTCTCACTAAAAAAATAATTACACATGTGGCATCAATGGAGAAAAAACGTGTGTGTACCTACATTTGTTTTCAAAGTTTTATTGATTTTTTTTTGTAGCCGTAGCTAATCCAAAAGTGGGCCAGTATGTATTGTGTACCTGTTTTGATCATGGAGATGGACTTTTTAGAGCTATTATCAAGAAAATTATTGGCGAATTGGCATCGTTGCAGCTGATTGATTTCTCCATTGGTATGTAAATTATGTAAAACATTTAAATTTTCTAATTATTTTTTTTTAGAGGAGACACTTCCTTTAACATCATTAAGAAACATTGACGAAGATCTGGCTTCTTTGCCACCAGCCCAAATTGAAATCAACTATCTACCCTTAAAAAAATTAACAGATGACGGACTTACATTATTGAGCTCATTTATCCGAAACAAATCCAAAATCAAATCGGTTAGTTAAATATACTCTGTACAATTTATAATTTAAAGGTTTCCATTTCAGACCGAAGTAAATGGACTAATAGATTTTACGGTTGATGGAGAATTATTATCAATGAAAATTACCCCCCAACTTAGACAACCAAAATCAGAAATTTCTAGTCCCAGCCACAAAGAGCCAACAGTTGTAGAACGTATGTCATTTTAATTTTTATGTATTACAATCTAATGAATTTTTTTTCACAGCTGTCAAAGCTGCACCAGTGGGTAAAAATAAAGAAAGTAGGTTGTTTAAATTAAGTAAAAATAAAAAAAAATGTAATATATCTTTTGCAGATGTAAAAACTTTCTTTAGAGACATGCCATTTGATGAGCCTAAAGATGGTGTGAATCTCTACTTCTGTTATTCATATCATGGCGCTTCCCTGACTGTGATCGATACAAGTTCCAAACATGTAGAGTTGATTGAAATGGTCTCTGTCGAGAAACCAGGGGACAATGAGCCATACGAGCCAGCCCAGTTTGAAATGTGTTTGGCTAAATATGATGATGGTTAGAATATACATATTTAATTATTAGTTAATGTGATCTAAAAAATTCAAAAAATGAATTTGAGATTTCTCATTGCACTTTATCGTTAAAATTGCAGGTACTTGGTGCAGGGCCATGGCAACTGGTGATAATGACGAAAAAGTTGAAGTTAAGTTTGTAGACTATGGCAACATTGAAAAAGTTAATAGGGCAGATATCAGAAAACTACCAGAAAATATGAAGAGTATTCCCATATTTGGAATAAACGCTCAAATTGAAGGTAAGTGAGTTAATATTGGAATTTTGTTAAATGTATGAGCAAACAGATACATGAAACAACATTGTACAGATCTATATTTCTTCACTTTTGAGAATTATTATTATTATCTTTGAGCATATGCAGATTAAGAAAAATTCTTCACATTAATTTTCTGTTTAGGTTTTGAAATAACTGACGCAGTCGAGAAACAACTAAAGGAATTAATCCCGGATGGTGAGTTGCTGGAGATAAATATGAAAGTTGGCAAAAAGACTCAGAATCGTATGAATTATTCTGTTGAATTACCCAGCATTCATCGTATTTTGAAAGAAGAAGGTTTAGCTATTTAGTTTTAAGTTTCACAATGAAAGAGTACCTATTATTTTTCTTTCTTATATTTTAAGTATTTTTGTTAGTTTTCATGGATTTTAAATATAAGGACTGTATTTTTTTCTTATTTGTTGGGACACAAGACACAAGAAATTATTGTAAAATTACGAACTCAAGGAAATTGTTTTTCTTTTATTAATGTCTGGCAGTGATTAGTTGAGTTTTTCCTAAGTTTTTTTTTCTGTACCAATAAACATTTTTTATATTGGAAAATGTAGTTCTTTCAATATTTGACCTAAATGATATTGATGAAGCCTAAGGTGATTGTCTTCCTTTTTTTGAATACAGAAGTACCTATTTACTATATATAAGATGACAGATGCCAATATTGTACGTACCTTTCTTGGATGATAAAGTAATAACTAATTTCTGTAATTACTACATAGGTTAGACTTGAAATGTGCAATAGCATTTCATTTTCCAAAGATTCACTAGATAAATCTATTTTTGAAAAAATCAAATCACTGACAATGATATTGAACACATATTTCAAAACAGGAATTGAAGAAATTGGATATAAAACATTTTTCAAGGAATCATTGAAACACTTCAAGTTTCTGAAGTCAATTAGATTTGATGCTTGTCCAAGCCCTGCTCAGAATAAGAATAGAAACATTGGCTTGGGACATTTGAAAATTTCCATAAAACATGACGTGTGATGAAAATAAGCTGAAACTTCTGATTGCTCACGTGAGTCATTCAACTTATGAATATATTTCACCTATTTTTCTGTATGAGAATGTAATATAAATTCTGAACGATATGTATTTATATCGAGCAAACGAAATATTTGCCCAATATAATAATTGTCAATACACAAATAGCAATACCTCAAGACTCAAGCATTAAAACAAGTTGGCAAGATTTGTAATTTCAAAGTGAGTTAGGGATGAATTTATTCGAGATGCCTTTATTAATGAAATCCACGTACCAACATCAAATTTGGCCAAGACTTTTGGAAAATCATAGACTATCGCTTGAAGAAGCTGAATCACAAGTTCTGTTCTCAAATTTGCTCCAGATAAGTACATTTAGAAATTTATAATTCTCGATCAATGAACGATGATATTCATTATGATAAAAACAATGATGCCAAAATGCTAGTTTTGTGGGAATAGAAAACCTCTAAGAGTTTTGCGTTCTATTAGAGAAAGCATTTGTCAGAGCCTATTAGTTACACAGTTTCTAGTTAGCCATGGTTTCATCGTATAGGTTTCCATTACCTGTGACAAAATGTGATTGCAAGTGGTTGTTTATTGCTTCATAGTCTGCCCTCTAAAATCGTTTTTTTCTCGAAAGTACCGACCTGAATAATATACGCAATAATTAACTAAAAAAATACCAAATCGGCCATTCGCATTATACCTAAACATTGATAAATAAACCAATAGGTATTTCAAAAAATAAGGAATTAGAAAATGTATAGTTTGAACCTTTTTTTTTTTTTTTTTTGTGTTTGGTTTTTCATGGAGCTGCCTTAATCTCTAGCAAACCTGTTGTCTGTGTGTGTGATTGTCTGTGTATCTAAAGTCCAAAATCTGGCTTATTGGGCTCTGGACGAATCCGAGGCTGAATATATTCGTGTAGGAAGTAAAGTGGACCAACTATAACTCAGACCAGTTATTGGTGTCTGCACGAATTGGATTTTCCTCAAAAATCTTAAGAAATTTCTCTCTTGTTCTTCACTCTGAATTTGGATTAAGACCCTCCAATAAATTAGGGAGTGAAAATTCCAATGCGAACAGCAGCAATTTAATGCCAATCGTAATGAATCTATAAAGATTAAAAACAATTAAGAGATGTAAAATTCTTACCACGAAGCACGTGCAACTTACATGAAGTAACTATCCCAAATAACTTAAAAAATCGCTGGAGAACCATAAATATGGAAACTGGATCTACTGAGCTCACAAAATGTATTGTGGTCTACGCCAACTTCTACAAATCTTGATCAAAACCAAAAGGGCAATATGGACGGATCTTTAGATTTTTCTAAGCTCTTGACAAAAGTTCCGTGATCACTGGTACCAAAGAATTCGAATCATGAACCAAGTTCAAGGCGGTCGGATAACCACCAAAAATATGCGCTGAACACTGACAAGGGCAGGCGCAATTTAAAATGGACCAAACACCAGGATTGGATTCAACTTTGACGAAAAAATAGAAAATTTTGGAAATGGCTGAACAAGAGAAGCTCCACAATAGCGGAATCCCAATTGGTTCTGGGACATCAGATACCCACCAGGTAAGTTTTCATACCACAAGCAATCAGCGATTCATCCTCGGATTTATCTCATCTTTTGCTTTCTCCCCCTATCCCTTTAGGCTCTTGCAGAAAGTTAACAAGACGAACAAATTACGCCTTCAATGATTTATGATTCATTTAATTTAATTATTGAACATTTTTAAAACCAAAATTGGATGTTCCACTCTTGGTTCCAAAATTGTAGCATTTTACATAAATTCAGATAACAGGAAAACAAAAATGTTAGAATGATGGTCACTACGACTTGTCGTTCGTAAATTAAATTAAGTTAAATCTATTCAAGATTTAACTAAAAAATAACTGGTTATTATTATTCTTATTATATACTGCCAAGCCGACACCAGGCCACTGCTATTAGCTTGTGTGTAGGTACTAAACAAGGCTGAGAGTTAACATTTTGATAGCAACTATACATTAATAATAAGCCTACCATAGTTGACAACACAATTCTAATATCACACAAATCCCACTGCTTTTTTTTCCTTGTCGATATTTTCTGAAAAGAGTACCTACCTGTATCCAGGGAAATTCATAAAGGTTCTCTAGAAGATCTTTATAGAGCCATATTTCTGTGAGTAAAATGAATGTTGATTCATGTTGTTGGACGCTTTCTTCCCAGGCGTCCACTTTAGTAATGAGAATGCGTTGTGTAGTAAAAGGAAACTTCCACAATGCTATTTAGTTTTTTGACTGTACCGGAGTTGCGGGCAGTTTAATGATTTTAGGTGTACATGTACCTCTGAAATTACTTAGGTAATTCTTAAGTTTGATTCATCCTCGTTAGTACGCCCAATTTTTTCAGAGTTACGTACTTTTGCTTTTGCTTGTTTGGATATGGACTTTCTGATTAGTTCTGATACTGTTTTGTATCAACTTTTCTCACCATTTGAAATAGTTACATAAACATTCATTCAGATCAAGAAGGATCAAGTTTCATGTCTATTAATAGTCTGAGAGCCAGCGCCAAAAAAGTGCAAGAGTTTCATGAAAGCTGAAAATGTAATATAAGCTTGTATTTGTGATGTATATAACTATACTCGAGTCAGCAAGTGAGGTAGCGGGACAAGCTACGCCCACGCACCTTTGAATGTGTAAAACATTAATCGCGATGAAAGAGTTTCATGACAGCTGAAAATCTCTCAATCCATTGTTTTTTTGATAAAAAACATGAAGGACATGGTCAGATAGCAATATGTTAGGACAACTAGAGTCAGCATGCCTATACAGGGTGGTCCATTTAACTTGAGACAGTCTAATATCTCGAAAACGGTGCGTTTTTGAAAAAAAAAGTTCAGATAAAACTTACATGGTATCATGGGGGAAACAAAATGGCGGTACTAATTTTTGACTTTGACAACGTTTTCAAGGTTATTTCAAGGTCAACTCTTCTTTTTTCAATGGAAACATATTTTTTTATTACAGAATCTTATTCTACAGAAAAAAACAAGTATAACTTTTATTTGAAGCATTTTTCGATCTGGTTTTAATTTAAGCTGATAAAAAAGAACGAATAATTTTTTTGTTTCCTCCTCACAAAATCGAAAAGTAGAGGAAGGTTACCAAAAATACCTCAAAAACTATAACAATTGATCAAAATGACGACCGCCAACTTCAGCACACTTGTTAATTCGCTGTAAAAAGCTTTCATGGCACCAAATTACAGTTTCTTTACTGACAGCTCTAAGCATTATTTCTTATCCCTGATAACACAGGATTTTCCTGGGATATCCTGCCAATGTACTATGAAAGTATGAATGTCCCGTACCTTGATAATACATTCCCAGAATGTTTCAGATAGAATATAACTGGAATATTTAGATGTAATATTCAAGGAACATCCCTCAAATATTCCTGTTTCTTTGTTTTGTGATTTCTTATTTATAATTCTCAGCTTAGCAGCATATAAAGAGAAAAAACTTTTAAAAAAATCCCATTGCCAGATTCAGACCAACAAGACCAACGACCCAACTGCGCTTCGTCAGTTCGTCTATCAACCAGCAGTGTTGATTATGACGATACCCATTTTCGACGTTGTCAGATTTCTTTGGATGATTTTATTCCATATAAATATGATGAAATATACCTAGTAGTTTCATAAGTTTTCGAATTTTATATGTAATGTTTGTATATAAAAATACAATTAATAGGTTGTATATTTTTTTATATTGGCGATATTTTACTCGTTACACAAAAATAATATACGTGACAACTGGCAACGTCGAACAAAAGCCGCACGTCACAAGCCACGGTACCTCACTTCATATTCATCACAGTCAACCTAACCTCACTCCGAAAAAACAAGTCAGCAAATTTTATTGTTTGTTATTAATTTAGTTTTGTTTTAATTACAAAATAATCGTTTTATCTGTGGTCGGTTTTGAACAATAAAACGTTCGGTGCTTGGTTTGCTCGTGTTTTTATATGGTTTTTCGTAGATTTTTCCACGAATTTCCCACATAATTTTTCACTGGCTCTTCCAATTTTCGAGGTTTCGTTACCTTTTGCATTTTTGTGTTAGGTAAGTACTACATGTAGCCTGTTCAGTAATTTATTTAAGAGGTTTTTAGAGTGCTTACAGTGCTGAAGATGGATCCTACAGGAAAAAAGTATTGTTGAGCAACTAATTATTGTCAAAGGAACAAACAATCAAGTCATTCAGAACCTGATCTACAAGATGAGCATCAGAACCCGAGG